GACGCACGTTACAGCCCAATTAATGACGCACGTTAGTGCCCAATATGCGACGCACGTTACAGCCCAATTAATGACGCACGTTAGTGCCCGATATGCGACGCACGTTACAGCCCAATTAATGACGCACGTTAGTGCCAATATGCGACGCACGTTACAGCCCAATTAATGGCGCACGTTAGTGCCCAATATATGACGCACGTTACAGCCCAATTAATGACGCACGTTAGTGCCCAATATATGACGCACGTTACAGCCCAATTAATGACGCACGTTAGTGCCAATATATGACGCACGTTACAGCCCAATTAATGACGCACGTTAGTGCCCAATATGCGACGCACGTTACAGCCCAATTAATGACGCACGTTAGTGCCCAATATGCGACGCACGTTACAGCCCAATTAATGACGTACATTAGTGACAAATTGACGTCGTACGTTACAGCCCAATTAATGACGCACGTTAGTGCCCAATATATGACGCACGTTACAGCCCAATTAATGACGCACGTTACAGCCCAATTAACGTACATTAGTGACAAATTGACGTCGTACGTTACAGCCCAATTAATGGCGCACGTTACAGCCCAATTAATGGCGCACGTTACAGCCCAATTAATGGCGCACGTTACTGCTCGAAGGAATGTTGGAAGGCATTCACCGGGACGAAGGAAGGAATGTACCAGAAGAAGGAGGAAATGCACCGGGCACCGGAAAATATAAAGAATGCACTGGAAGAAAGAAGTAATGCACCGGAACAAGGAAGGAACGCTCCGGAAGAAGGAAGGAATGCACCGAAAGATGGAAAGAATGCACCGGAAGATGGAAGGAATGCACCGTAAGAAGGAAGGAATGCATTGGAATAAGGAAGGAAAGCATCGGAAGAAGGAAGGAATGAACCTGAAGAAGGAAGTAATGTTTCGCAAGATAGGAATGCACCGGAAGAAGGAAGGAATTCATCGAAAAAAGAAGGATTTCAAAGAGTAGTTGATTTATAGGTTTTGAGTAGTGGACTTTTGGACTCAAGCAGCAGTGTGCATAGGAGTTAGGCGTCGGTTAGGCGTTGTTTAGCAGATCTAGTGATGAATTCAGGACTTATCTTTTCGGGTTCAAGGACCACTTACAGTTGCCGTACAGTGGCCGCGTACAACTGCAGGCACCCCCGTGCAATACTGATGCTCCACATTAGACGCTAATTAGCATTAGGTAATATGTGCTATTAGCAGCTAAATTGAAGTAACCCAAAACTCCAATAACATAACATATATAATCTAATGTATGAAAATTGAAGATAATATGTATGAAAATAAATGAAAGATTCGTTCGAGCCCACATCCTAAATTTTACATAGAAACCAGAACTCCCATTGAACTATTTTTACAAACTAAGAATAAACTATTCTGCGTCTTCTAAATTAGATCCCTTTTTGCCAAATGCAAAATTAAATGCCAATATTTGATCCACTCCTTTCCTTTCTTTATTCCAATTCTTTCTCCCCAGTTCTCCAATCATTTCCTATTCTTCCTAAGAAAACATTTTCATGTGCAATAACTGGACACGTCAACTATCGTGCATGTATACGCGCCCCAACAGCTCCTACATATTCGCGGCTCCATGTAGGCTTGCACCACACAATCCTTGCCTTATATTAATAAAGTTATCTGTTTAAATCCTACTTTATATCAATAAAGTTATCTGTATTATATCCTACTTAATATAAAGAAAGTTATCTGTATTAAATCCTACTTAATAATAATAAAATAATCTGTATTAAATCCTACTTAATATAAATAATGATATCTGTATTAAATCCTACTCAATGAGTCTGCTCGTGGCGCGTTAAGTATCCGGCTGAATGACGGCATGGATAATTGACTGAATATACACGTAAGTAATACGTCAATATCTATGTGAATATGCGTAGGTATGATATGAATATACCGTTGCCGTTTTTCTGAGGTGTCAGAACTTGACACTGATGTGCTAGGGCGAGGGAATGTCGCAAGTTTCCTTAACTTTCACGATCACACATGATTTACACACCAGGCAAATATTCCTACCATGTCAGCGCACATGAAACACGTTTGTTCACAGTTCCTCGTCATCGCCCTCGAGTTTTATTATCAACCATTCACGCTACTCTTTGTCCAGGACGACGAGCAATGACGACAAAGAGTACGACGAACAAACAGAACAATGCCACAATTCTTCTGCTTACTCTATAACAACATCATCCCGCGCCGCGCAGACCGCCGAGAACAACATCAACCTGACTGATATCCACCACCGATTTATGCCACTGAGCAGCGGTCGAATAATGCAACTCTTTTGTCATATTCGTTTAGTGAAACGCTCCTTAAGTCACGCCAGCCCTGATAGTGAAGACCTGTTCCAAAATATACAAAGACATTTTCCATAATCTACCGACACCTTTTCCAAAATCTAATTCTGCACATATTAATCTTGACCCTCCAAGTCTCTTCTTAGTGGGACAGCTCGGTGCAGGCGGTGGCCATTTTTGACACGCCCTTTTTGCCACCTCCCAAATGAGCCTTCCCCCCCTAGCCGACGTGGGCTGACATAACCAACAACATTCAAACGTTCAACTCTCAAATGATTACCACGCGTGACAACCACTCATAAAAACCCACATGACAACTAAATATGACAACAGTACTTGTCAGTCGCACCTATTTATCATGTATCTTCACTAGGCGGCAACCAGGGCGGATATGCCGTGTACCAGTACGGCTACCATGACGGCTACGGCGGCAACCACTACAACGACCTCCACCATTACCACCATGGGGGTGGCTACGGGAGCGGCTACCACAGACGACGGTCCATTCGGGCGGCCGAGGACCCTCCCCTTGTGAACCCCACCGTCGAGGATGAGAGGTTTGGAACCATGTTATAGTTTATTATTTCGTAATTGTTTGAGTTAATGGCGAGTAAAGGTCACTGCTCTGCTAACGTGCCGTCACCCGTCTGCTTTTGGCGAGGGACAAGCGCATAGCGTCGCCCATCTTTCTGATGGGAGACGCTTCCCTCCGAGAGCAAACCAGTAACTTAATAACAAAAATACTTTAAGCAACGCCAGAAATATTGTGTGTATTTATTAGAGATCACTTGTTAACATCCCAGCGGCGTCGGGCTCTAAAAGACTGCCTCATTGCGAGTTGTGAAGACTAATAGTCCGATTTCGCATAGTAACGAATTAAATTTTATTACAGATGCAATCAGCAAATTGCTTATTAAGATAGTTGACGGCGTAATAACAGGTAAGTAGCACACGTGTGGTGACCATGGCCGTAATACTGTAATAAATATAAATTCTAAAAACATAAAAATAAAGCACGACTGTTCAATGTTTGCTAACTGATATTCGATTTCCAGAGACAATAGTTGCGAGTTTCACATTTCTTAGAAAATCTTAAAATATTACTAACAATCAAAGTTTTTATCGCTCGTAACTATTCGCAGTTGCTTAAACGCCTTTCAGTGGTACGAGTGTAACTTAATGAATGGTCAGCCTAAACAATTCTAGGTTAAGATGAGAGGTATGCCTAGTACATTTAACGTCGTACATGGAAAAATAACAGGAATATTTTCTAAGTAGTATAATAGGAGAAACCGAAATTGCGGAACATTTAAAGAATAGACCACATTTTTGGGTAAGGTTGCACATGCCGGCAGCACAGCAAGAACAGCAATACCCTGTCTTCCAGCACTCTGTCCCTAGACCACCTGTCCCCAGCAGTTTCCAGCTGTCCCCTCCCTAACAGTCCCCAGCAGTCCCTCATCAGTCCCCAGTAGTCCCAACAGTCCCCAGAAGTCCTCTAACAGTCCCCCAGCAGTCCCCAACAGACCCCAGCAGTCCCATAACAGTCCCCTTACAGTTCCCTAACAGTCGCCTAACAGTCCCCTTACAGTCCCCAGTAGTCCCCCAGCAGTCCCCTAACAGTCCCCAGTAGTCCCCCAGTAGTCCCCTAAAAGTCCCTAACAGTCCCCAGCAGTCACCTAACAGTCCCCTAACAGTCCACAGTAGTCCCCTAACAGTCCCCCCTAACAGTCCCCCCTNGTTAATGGAGCGCGGTCGTCTTCTGATGCAGTTCACAATTCACAATATTCAGATTTTATTAGCCAAGTGCCAAATTTACAAAAAAAAACACAAGTCCAAAATTTTCAATGTTGGAATTATCCACGAAGAAGCAGTGCATCAGCTAAATTATTTTTTTCATACAATCGTGAAAAAGGCAAAAAATAAAATTTAATCATTAGAAAAGGTAATTAAATTCATACGTAGGTCAGCATGAGTCTGAAACTTGAGACTTTAATTAAAGAAACGTAAAAATCGTCAATCATGTTATGCAGCAAAGTAAAAGGAAGATAATATAAGAAAATTTACGCACATAAATTAACGTAGCCATTCACTGCACTAGCGAACTTTCGAACTTTTAGGAGGAGTTAAATTTGAAGAAGAAAAGAAGAAATCTGTAGTAGGCAAATGCTTCAGAGTGAAGTAAGGTGAGAACACTAATATATTAGCTGAAATAAGATGATTAAGATTAAAACGAGTCAGAGGCTCTGGAAATATAGAGCCTGAGTTATATAAATATAAATATATATATATAAGTTATATATTAGTTATAATAAATATATAAATATAGAGCCGCATTCACTTAGCATTGGATAATTATTAAACGTTGACGTTGAATCCATCAACCAGATAGTACTGAAGCATCATACATGATAATAAAGAATAGATTTGAGCTAACTTAACGAAAACAAACTCGGACACTCAAACCAACGGAAGACAGCCCCAACACCAACCCCCAGCCCAACCCAAACCCCTATTACAACCCCAGCCTCCACTAAAGCACAACCCCAGCAGCCACCACAACCCCAGCCATCACTCCAACCCCAGCCGCCACCTTAACCCCAGCCCCCACCACAACCCCATCCCGACCCCACTGTAACCCGTGACGCATGTCACCCACGGTACGCCGCATTGCGTACGCCGTCGCAGCGTCTAGCGTACGCACGACGTCAAGCGCCTTACGCACGCACGCAAGATCGCACGCAGAACAAACTTTCTTGCGCGGCGTAGGGAAAGTTTTTGCAGCGCCACATCTCGCGCTCCCAACCTCATTCCTCCTATTTACTCCTCTTCATTCCTCCTGTTCATTCCTCTCAACTCTTCCTATTTACTCCCTTCCTCTTATTTTTCTTATTACATCCATTCCTCTTATTTACTCCCTTCCATTCCTCTTATTTCCTGCCAACCATTCCTCCCATTCACACCCCGCCATTCATTTCCTATTTAATTCCCTCAATTCTTCCTATTTGCTCCCCTCTATTCCTCCCATTTACTCTCCTCCATTCCTCCGAATTATTGATCTCCACTTCACTTCTATTTACTCCCCTCTATTCTACCTCTACTTTATTTTCAATTTCGCTTCTCATTCTACAACCCATTCCTCCTCCCTATTCTCTTCCATTCCTTCCCTCCATTCTTCCTTCCAATTCTCCCCATTCCACTCTTCATTCATCCTCCCAATCATCCCCAATTCCCCCACCCATTCTTCCATCTATTTCTCATACCAATTCTACATCCATTCCTCTACGCTTGCCTTCTCTATCAGCATTCACAAACTCATGACTTTTTTCTTCTCATGCATAACAAAGTAACGTTTTTAGCGCATTTTCTCATTTATGGAAAAAATGCACTATTGTGCTCGCCATGTCCGTCTGTCTGTCTGTCCGTCCGTCTGTCCGTCTGTCCG